CTTGTTTAGTAAATCAGTCTCAAAACAAGATCAAAAAGACTTTTTGGCTGATATAAGATTTTAAAACTTTGTAAGATGGACAGTTTTTGCAGTGGGGTTGATGGTTTTCAGAATTCTGTTTTACTTTATTTCAGGCCTAGTTCTCTTCTTAAGGCCCTGTCACACTACATATGCCAACTTATGAAACATTTTTATGTCTAAATTGCTAATAAAAGTTATATATTTGATCAAAAAATGTAAATCTAAAATATTCATAAGTTTCTTAAGTTGTTTAGTGTGACAGGGCCTTTACATCTGTTTAGTTTTCTTTATCTCCCTCAATCTGACACAAGCAGGAAGTGTTTTTACAACTAGAACCTGAAGTCAAACTGAGATTCACCCAACGTGCTCATCAGACAGGTCAACATAAAGACTGACAGGAAATGGGATTTTAAAGTTTTGGCAATGCACTCAACATCCATTAACTTCTGTAAGCTTTTAACATCTGCAACAACCCTTTCCATTTGGTTTCTCTGCTGTTAAAGCTGGTCTACCTAGGAAAAAAACAAAGAAAAAAGAAAAAGAAAACATTTTCAAATGAGATTTTAGTCAAGCCCCTTGCTGCACCCTCCGGGAGCCTGTCTGTAATGGAATGGAGAGATGTTAGACACGATGAATCAAGCCAGACCTTAAAATCTGAGCGATGACTGGAAGGTTTTGAACAATGACGAGTGCATTAAATATTCATTATTGTGAGCGGCGGAAGAGGACGTCTGGGATRTTAAAACCAGAGCCGACGCTGCTGCGGTGTGGCAGTACTCATTACAGCAGCAGAGGTTTGTCCACTCTGAGTTTTGACATTGTGGCCAATATCTTTTATGTGTCAGCTCGGTCCCTCCGGCAAACGCCGGACAGAAGAAGCCGGGAAAGAAAAACGTGTTGAAAGAAGGGATTGGACAAGTAAATTACGGCAACCTCAGGGGAGCCYGCAGCCTCGCTACAGTCCAGACAACGTAATAAGCAGTGATTTTCAGTCTTAGTCTTTTTACTGTAACTCAGCTGCTTGGTGCTTTTGTGTTTGTGTGAAKGGGTGTGTATGATGTATAGAGGACAGAGTGTCCAGACTTACAATTATTGGATATAATTGTAAACTACTTAAGATTGTGCATGTGGTAGCATTTGTTTAATGTGTTTATCTGATTGTTATTCCTATACCATATTTTCAGCAGGGATGCCTAAGTGCAGATATAATGTGCTAAAACCCACTCTCCATTAGATTGTGTGTAAGATATAATGATTCTGGGGCTTAAGGCCTGACTGCTTTTTATGGGTTTATTATTAAATAAATTAAAAAAAATGTAAATGGCAAACTTTGTGAGAGCAGGAGGCAATGGCAGAGAGAAAGAGAAAGAACAGTATCTGACCATGTCCACTAAAATTATAGTCCACCTAACCAAGTATTATAATCTTATATCAGCCAAAAATAATTTTTGATCTTGTTTTGAGTCTGATAAAGCAAGAGAAGAATGTGTTTGATTATTAATCTTGTTAGTTTGATTTGTTTTCTTATTTCAAGAAGTCTGCACTGGGAAATTATTTCACTTCATATGAGAAGATTCAGACTATAATCTAGCATTTTTAAACTTATTTTTACATGGTTAATTCATGTAGGACTGTGCAGTGTGTGCTTGAGAAAGAGGAAAGTGGAGGAGTTACCAATATCTGAGAGCATGCCTTTAACAAACGAGAAAAAATCCATCAAAGACCCAAAGATCTGGGAGACGCTTCATCCTTCAGCTCATCGTTATCTGCAGGCTGGGTCTCTTTGGGAATCATTTTCTTAGTGCTAATATTCCTTTTTGCATCAAACTGTGTTATCTTATCGTGTTAGCAACTCACTTACTTCTCTGGCTAATAAATATGCTCTTGCTCTGCAATGGTTTTTGCTATAAACACCACTCTATAAACACATCACATTTCGTTGATTATATGTTTTGTTTTTCCTCATCTATCCTTATGTGGTATTTCGTTTTTCTTTTAAGGATAAGGGTAGCGCCTC